AGTGCTTTTCTGAGCACTTGCTTCTCCCAATAGTGGCAGAAAGAAATAAATATTGGTTAGAATATGATGTAAGACAGACTTTTATTAATCTCTCACTTATAGTTGCCTTGAGGACTCAAGAGTACATCTCTCCCAAGAGTGTGCGACTGCTCAACTTTTCACTTTTAAATATTAAAGTCACTGTAAAATTCTACTCTGACTAATCTGGAATAAAGACAGGAAAGATTAGTGTCACTAGGATATAGTTTTACATGAGCAAATCATTTTAAATAGGCTTAATCTAAGAGGTGGAAGCTGCTTTGCCTAGACTGACTGTTTGCCTAGACTATTTATGTCAGATTGGCTAGGATAATTCTGTGTGTGTGTGTGTGTGTGTGTGTGTGTGTGTGTGTGAGAGAGAGAGAGAGAGGGAGAGAGAGAGAAAAATATTCTGAAGGCTTCCTTTTACTGTGTGCATGATCTAAATGTGGAGGCCACTGCTATTAGAGAATTAGAGAGGTCTAATGAAGAGGTTATGATAAATATTTTTACCCAAATCACAGCTTTTTGGATCCATAATTTTCTTAGAACACCTTTCTTAGTGTCAGTGAATGTGTTTATATATACATGTACACACACCCCCCAATACCCATATAGGAGACATGGCTCCCATCTCTTTTCCATAGAGATATAAGAAGGTAGGGGGAAGTATTTTCTTTGTTGAATATTTTTGATTGTAAAGAAATTTAATATTAATTCATTCACTTAACAAATACTCATTGAACTCATTGAATGTAGGCACTGTGCTGAAAATGGGAGATAGGAGACCATCTAAAAACATTAAGGAGTGACACCAAGCTTTTTAGTCAATGATGCACATGTAACTGTTAGTCTGTACCTATTACTTGGTGGCCTCAGAAGAGAAGTCCTTGTGCTTTCAGGATAAAGTCTAAACTCCTCAGCCTGAAGACCATTTGCAGTCTGGTCTCCGTTTGTCCTTCTAGCCTCATCTCCTAACATCTCCTTTGCCCACTTTGTATTCAGGTCATTCCTATGGGAAGAATTTATCAAGCCCTTTACTGAGTACTGGGCATTTGCAGATAACTTGGGCTCCTCATACCTGTTCCTTCATGCTTTCATGCTTTCTTGCCTGAGTCCTTGTGGTTTTCCTCTAGTGGAATACTTTGCCTCTAATTGCTGGTGTGACACTCACCCACTTGTCTGTTTGTCTTTCCCACTAGTCATTGAGATCTTGGAGGACAGAGTCTGTCTCCTTCACCTTGGGCTTCAAGCCCCCAGTGTGGTACTTAGTAACCTCTCAGTCAGTGTATGCTGAACAAATGAATGAACACAGAAGAGTTAAGTGTAATCCAAATCTCTTGTGGTGGTGAACTCTTTCACCTTTTGTTTATCTGAGAATGTCTTAATTTCTCCTTTTTTTGTGAGGAAGATTGGCCCTGAGCTAACATCTGTTGCCAATCTTCCTCTTTTTTGCTTGAGGAAGATTGTCCCAGAGCTAACATCTGTGCCAGTCTTCCTCTATTTTGTCTGTGGGATGCCACCACATCATGGCTTGCTTGATGAGCAGAGTGTAGGTCCGTGCCCTGGATCCGAACCCACGAACCTCGGGCTGCCGAAGCAGAGCACGCGAACTTAACCACTACATCACTGAGCCAGCCCCATTAATTTCTCCTTCATTTTTGAAGGATAGCTTTGCTGGATATAGTATTCTTGGTTTGCATTTTTTTCTTTCAGCACTTTGAATATATCATCCCAATTCCTTCTGGCCTACAAAGTTTTTCCTGAAAAATTCATTGAAGATCTTATGGGAGCTCCCTTGACAAGTTGCTTTTTTCTCAAGTCCATTGAGCCTCTTGAATTTGGATGTCCATTTCCTTCCTCAGATTTGTGAAGTTTTCTGCCATTATTTCTTCAAATAGGCTCTCTGCCCCCATTTCTCTCTTTTCTCCTTCTGGGACTTCCATAATGTGTATATTGACCCATTTGGTGATATCTTTTTTTTTTTTTTTTTAAACATTTTGAATTTTTTTTATGTAGTTTTTTTTTTTTTAATTTATTTATTTGTTTTTCCCCCAAAGCCCCAGTAGATAGTTGTATGTCACAGCTGCACATCCTTCTAGTTGCTGTATGTGGGACGCAGCCTCAGCATGGCCGGAGAAGCGGTGTGGCGGTGCACGCCTGGGATCCGAACCCGGGCCGCCAGTAGCGGAGTGTGCGCACTTAACTGCTAAGCCACGGGGCTGGCCCTGGTGATATCTTTTAGGCTCTCTTCAGTTTTCTTCATTCTTTTTTCTTTTTGCTCCTCTGACTAAATAATTTCATGACTTGTATTCAAGTGTGTTGATTCTTTCTTCTCCTTCATCAAATCTGCTGTTGAATCCATCTAGTGAATTTTTTAATTCAATCATAATATTCCTCAGCTCCTGAATTTCTTTTTTTTTTTTTTTTACTAGTTTCTATGTTGATATTCTCGTTTTGTTCATGTATCATTTTCCTCATTTCATTTAGTTGTCTATCTGTGTTCTCTTTTAACTCATTGAGCATCTTTAAGATGGTTATTTTGAATTCTTTGTCAGGTAATTCATGCATCTCCATTTCTTTAGGGTTGGTTTCTGGAGATTTATTTTGTTATTTTTGATTGGGCCATGTTTCCTTGTTTCTTTGTATACTTTGTGATCTTTTGTTGAGACTTGGGCATTTGAAACGACAGTCACCTCTCCCAGTCTTTGTGGACTGGCTTCATGCAGGAGATGACCTTCATCAATCAGCACGAGTAGAGATTCTGGGGGCGGGGGGGTCTCTCAAATCTTTTCTGAGGATGTTTCTTCTCTGGGCTCGTGTGTGTAATTTCTCAGTTAAAGAGATTGGCTCCTGTTCTCAAGAGCGCATAACCTCTTGCTCTCTCTGATGTCTGTCCGTGGTACTGCAGACTCTCTAGTGCTGTAATAAGTCACCTTGCTTGCCTTTGTTCTGAGCAGCCCCCAGGCATCTGAAGTATACTGTCATTTACTTTAGCATGCCAAGTCAGATGAGACAGAAAACTGTTCCTTGGGCAATCCCCCTGTAAAGCCAGAATGTTGGACATACATTCTACTCTTCTCTTTCCCTCCCAAGGGAGAAGCCAGGAGTGGGGAGTGTTCTCCTGATGGCACTGCACTGTGCTGGGTGGATGGGGGCTATGGCAGGGAAATGCAACAAACTTTCTTACTCACTTTGATGTGGCTCTGCTTGGCTTTGCACTCACCTGGGGTGCTACAACCTCTTAATTGGTTTATGGGGTTGTTACAAAGGCAATTTGGTCCATATATTGTTGTTAAGTTGGTATCTCCATGGGGGGATGAGGGCCTGGGGTTTCCCACTCTGCCGTCTTTCTGACGTCACTCTCAGGTGTTATACAAATCTCTGTTTTATGAAGTGGAGATAATATTAGTAGAACTTTAAATAGGGTAGTGGCATATCTGTCTCCCCTCTCTTTCCAATCAAGGATTAAAGACGTCATTCCAGGCTTCTGGCTTTCCTGTCTCTGTCTCTGTCTGTCTGTCTGTCTGTCTGTCTCTTTAGTAATGGTTGCTAACATTTAATGAATGCTCATTGTCTGTTAGGAACTGTTCATGTTCCTGTTGTATGTATTAACTTATTTACTTCTCACAGTAGTTGTAAAAGTGAAGATACTATGATTATTCCCATTTTACATGTGAGGAAACTGAGTTAAGAGAATCTAAATAATTTACCCAAAGTCATACAGCTGATAATTGTATTAGACAAAATTTTAAAAAGCCATTTTACATCATGAAATGAATATATATATTAACTATATATTATATATTAATAAATATAAATATTTATATTAACTATATATAAATAAATAGATATTAACTATATATTATATATTTAATATATAATATATAGTTAATATATATAACTTACAATCAGTTAAGTTTATTTGTTGTGGGTCAAGTAGAGCAGCTTTTTTTTTTGTTTTAAATCGTGAATTTTTTCACGCGTTCATATTGGTTTATAACATTGTATAAATTTCAGGTGTACATCATTGTATTTCTGTTTCTGCATAGATCACATCATGTTCACTGCCCAAGTACTAATTACAATCCATCACCACACACGTGTGCCTAATCATCCCTTTCGCCCTCCTCCTTCCCCTCTTCCCCTCTGGTAACCACCAATCCAATCTCTGTCTCTATGTATATGTTTGTTGTTGTTTTTAAAGACTGTTGATACCCTGAGTATCACAATTTGATCATGGAATTATTTATTAGGTATGGCTAGAAATCCTGTGTTCTGCAGTTGTTCGAATAATGCACCCATATAATTTCTTTTCTTCCCAGCTTTATTGAGATATGATTGACAGATAATATTGTGTAAGTTTGTGTAAGTTTAAGATGTACAATGTAATAATTTGATATATGTATATATTGCAAAATGATTACCACAATAAGGTCAGTTAAGAAATCCATCACTGCACATAGTTGCATTTTTTTTGTTGTGAGAATTTTTTTTTTTTGGGTAAGGATGATTAGCCTGAGCTAACATCTGTTGCCAATCCTCCTCTTTTTGCTGAGGAAGACTGACCCTGGGCACATCCGTGTCCATCTTCCTCTACTTTATATGTGAGACACCTGCCACAGTGTGGCTTAATAAGTGGTGTGTAGGTCTGCACCCAGGATCTGAACCTGTGAACCCCGGGCCGCTGAAGTGGAGCATGTGATCTTAACCACTGGGCTGGCTCCCGTGGTGAGAATTTTTAAAGTCTACTCTCTAAGCAACTTGAAAAAAATATTCTTTAATTTGAGTAAGACTGTTGCTTATATTATATAAACTGTAAGTCTGTTTTTAACAAAATCTTTTGTTGTAACAGGCAATTATTGAATTACTATGGATATTATTTTGTGATTATAAGTGGTAATTATACTGTTGGAAATCCCTATAGTTGAAATATCCAAACATAGAATGACATCAAAGATGCATATTTTTGCTTTTTGCAGGACAGAGTTTGTTCAGAGAGGCAGGATTTCGATCACAGGGGCTGGCTTTCTGAACTACATTTTGGAAACTTTTGCCAGCACCTTCTTAAGACAGGGAGCCCAAAAGGTAAGCTTGTTTCCACTTTGAACCAATGTTAATTTTAAGAAACCATGGAGATTCCCACTGGCTTCTTGAATAAGGCTCATAAGCAGACATAACAAGAAAAAAATACAGCTAATAAATATATGCAAAAATAATTACCCTCACTAATTATTGCATAAAACCAAATCAAAGTAAAACTAAGGTGCCATTTGTGGCCCATTAAATTAAAAATATGCCAATGAAGAGTATGTGATAATGTGAAGGATACTTATAGTCTAATTAAGAGAAATAATCAGAATGAATAATTATATTTACAGTATATATAATATGACAACTGTTTAATAAAAAAGATAATGGCTAATATTTATTGAGTGCTTACTATGGTGCTACTCACTGTAAAATGAATTTTTATTTATTATCTCATTTATTCCTCACAAACCTTTGAAATGGCTGTTATTTTTGTCCTGATGTTATGGATGAGGAAGACACAGAGATCTGGAGCTTCTGGTTGTCTATTATTGTGGTTTTCAAACTCTGTAGTTGTGAGAGCTTACGCTTCCGTGAAGGTGATCCAGAGCCCACTTTGATGTTCTAAGATCCTGTGTACCCTGTTTTAAGGAGAGCTACTCTGTTTTTAATGTGTCTTACATGATATTACACATGAGATTGAGATATCCTATTTTCTTGCCTAGAGCAAAGTCCATTCCTTATGCATCTTTATATGCCTATTACAGGTATTTTGAGGTGTTTTAAAATTATTATTTATAATATTTTATTGTTATTATTGTGATGATGAGCATAATCACTTATTTCTGGGATTTACTTAGGACTTATGCACATGTTACCTCATTTTGTTTTGTGGGTTAGGCTTAATGGCTGGTCTAAAGAACTATTGTTATGACCTCAGAGATTTTTCTGGGTAGTTGATCTTTGTTCTTGTTTTGCAGATCTAGGTTCAAGAATGAACCTGGACCATGATGCGTTAGTCTGGCAGGCTGGGGGTGATGAATGAGTATTTGGTACTGTACTCTACTCCATAGACATACTGTTGAGATTAATGATGTGTTCCTGGCTTGGATGAGCACATATCCAGCCTGGCCCAGCCTGTTTAAGCCTGGGCTTGAAGGGAGTAGTCGAGCTTCCCCACGGTCTGATGTGACTGTCACTCATAAGAAATTATTGCAGGCTTTTCTGCTATATTGTAAATTATGCATTTGTAAAAACCCCCATGTTCTGCAAAATTGCACTCTAATAATAATAGGGCTGATGAGAAAATAATTTTGTTGCCATGTTCCTGACTGAGTTGACTTTTTGTACATTGTTTAGATCAGGAGTGGCAAACTTGTGCTGTAAAGATCCAGATAGTAAATATGTTAAACTTAGTAGGCCAAGAGGCAAAATCAAGATATCATGTAGGTACTTTATAACAGGACAGAAACAAATTTGCACAAATTTTTTACTGACTGAATTAAAAATATAATAATAATAATTGAGTATAGTTTTTTTGTTTGTTTTGTAATACAGGTCTACTACGTATAATTTTTAGAAGAATAGAATTCTTTTTTGGGGGAGAGATAACATTTAGGTGAATTGGGGTGAAATGTTGGTGTTCCCTCCCATCAAATTCATTGCAAATGTTCTTTCGTACAAACCATTCTTATCTTGTGGACCACACAAACACCAGGTGGTGGGCTGGATTCAGCCTGTGGGCTATAGTTTGCCAACCCTTGCTTTAGATAAATAAATATTGTTTGATTAATCCAGGTGGGTCTTTATTTGACCTGTCCATCAATCTGAACCTATTAATGACTTTTAACCATACAGTGCTTGTGTGCATTCTGACCCTGTGAGATGCACAAAGTAGACATTATTCTTCCTGTGTTATTGATGAGCAATGTCTTGACGAGATGAGCGCACCTGAGATGTGGGGTAGCTGCATCCCTGCCTTCCTTCCTCCTACAGACATATACTGAGCACCTGCTTTGTGCCAGGCGCTGTGTTAAGTGTGGCCTAAATGGATGTGCTCAAGGTCACAGGACTAGCAAAGGGTGGAGTCTGGACTCAAATCCTCATCTTTTATCAATAATCTTACCCTTGCCACTTTATGGTGCAGCCCTCAGATGAATGAAGTGGAATGTTTGCCTACTCAGCATGATGAACTCCACAGATACTGCTGTGCATTAGATGCATTTGCGTTGTTGTCTCGTTCCCCCTGTATTTATTAGGACTCTTTGGTTGCAAGTAACAGAAACTACTTTAGGCTAGCTTATTATAAGGGGCCAAGGGTGGTGAGGCTCCCATGCTTCAAACTGTCTGCACTGGGATTTGAACGCTTCCAGGAACCCAGGCAGTATTCCTTCTTCAGCTCTTGTCTGTAAGACTAGGCATCTGTTTTGTTCTCTTCCTCTGTAGACTGGCTTTCTTTGCTCCACAGGCTGTGTAGTGTAATGTGGACCTCCACGGTCCAAGTGTACATGTTATATAGAGTTCTCGCCAACAAAGAGACTGATGGCATACTTCTTTCGTTTCCAAATTCTCTGGAAGGGATGCTCATTGGCCTTCCATAGGTCAAGCAGGGCCAGGGGGGTAGAAGTCAGGTTGTACAAATATGGCTCATCCTCTGCCATGACCATGTGGATCAGGATTAGGGTGTCAGTTCCCAGAGAAAGGGGTGGTGTGGTACGTGAATACTCCCAAAGGTTTCTGGCATGGTGTCTCAGTAGATTCTATGCTCTTGATAGCAGAGAGGGGGTTTTATTAATCTTAATCCCAATTCCCCCCAACCTGTAGTACCTTGGACAGTGCTCAGTACATTTATGTGGAGATGAGTAGAAGAGAGAGAGAATGCGCAGCCAGGGTCCACAGTTGGTTTCTGATGAATATTATCTGGAAATCATCAAGTGACTTTAAATTTTTAAAGTGAGGAACATAAGTGGTTCCTCGGTATTCTCACTTATTATGCTCGGCAGTAAGAGTATATTTTTCCTGCTAGCTTTTGCCTTTTCCAAATTTCTTTTTTTTTCTTCAGATGCTTAGTTTAATTAGTTAGCATTTCAATTTTAGAAGCCACTCATCCTGAAGTGTCTTTTACCTTTTATCCAAATAGTGATATTTTCTGGTATCAGCCTGAGTTCCTGATTAAAACCTTCACAGCTAAGCCAGCATAAATGGCTTCTGTGGAAGTCACCATGCGAGTGACTTTAGGTGACTTTACTTTCACTTTAGGACTTCATCCCTGAAGATGTTTAGTGGTGGTAAAGGTGGGATCTGGTATCTGTTTTTTTCCCAGAAAAAGCAAAACTAGGTGCTCACAAAGTTTATCTCTCTGTGTTTGTAAATTAAAAGCTGGCCTTAGTTATGGACTCCCAAGCCGAGGTCACTTGTGTTTCTGTGCCTCTGGGGGCTTGTTCAATTGCTTTTCTTTTCTCCTTTTACCACTCTGAGGCGACTTGCAATTCAGGGGCCTTTCTGACTTTTCATCCATCACTTGGACCCCACTTTCCTCTTGGAGTAGAAGTATGTGGGCAGGAGAGTGACGATTTCCCCTTGGGAGTCAAGTCAACAAATATGTCCTTGAAGTAGAGGCGGTTCTGAACTTACAGCCTACTAAAGCCTACTGTCTTTGTGATCTAGCACAAGTCACTTTACCCTCTGATTGTAAGTTTACTCATCCACAAAGTGAATTTTAATGCATTCCCACAGATGGATGTGAAATCTATGTTTGAAAGCTTTCAGTAAATTGAAGAACACAGGTCAAATATACGTAAGGTGTTCTCTCTGTTTTCAAGAATTTAAAGAAAT